GTGGAGTCGATGACTTTTCGGTGACGTTCGACTCATACTCCGACTACAGCTTTTAAAATCAACCGACTCCGAGTCGGAACAGAACCGCTGGCTCTGACTACAATTCCGCAGCCCTGGCCCAAGATAGCCGCCTAAAACAACTTTGATGTGTGATCTTCTTCGTACATTGTTAATGTTATTTTAAACAAGGAGTGGAAAAGGGAGACGAACCCTTCACAAACAGGGATCTCCTGTTGCGGATCAATCAGCTGCTGGAACAGAAAGGCATAAACACCACGCATCTCATTTCATCGTTTTCCTAATGACTCTGCACCAATGTAAGCACTGATCAATGCAGTGCGAGCATCGATGTGACATTTGTGTACCTAGTTTGAGTGTTATCCGCCCAGCCGTTCTTGAGATATGGAAGCGGCACCCCGCACGTGCGCACGTGCAGTAGCACCCCCATAGTGACACATGGAAATGCATTGGCCACTGGGTGCCTAACTATTGACGAAGTTTTACTGTAATGGGCCCAGCCATTGCGGAGTTACTTTATGTGGAACAATTTCGACACCCCTAAGTTGGCACGTGACACGTGCCGTAACATTAAGTAAGATGAAGAAAATCGGTCGAAATTCGGAGAAGAAGGAATAAGCCTACCAAATATGTATGACATATTGTCAAACTGCAGTACCACTGTGTGTAAATGACCATATAAAAGGTCGTACAAGTCGATGGGACTGGGCGTTTCAATACAAACCGTCTTACGCATTTTATTTTCGTTATTACCTAAAGGCTGCTTGACGTTTATGGCTTCCAAGCATTTAAGACATTTTTTGTCGTCTCAGGTCCAGTAATATTACCTCCAACTCGTGGGAATATGCACTTCAAGCCAACTAACACACCACACCCACGTGTGTCATAATGCTGAGAGTTGGCATTCACTCGGCTTGCTCCTAACTTACGATAATTCTCTCGCTAGATGGCAGGCCTGATCCCAATGTCGCGGATCCCAATGTTAATTTCCACGAGACACCAATCCAGTGTTATATCATCCATGATTTGACCATCAGTCAGCACGGCATAGGCTACAAGGCACCGCCCGCTTAGGGATATCGCCAAACCCTTGAAAATTGTACTTGCATATAACTCAGCCGTTTCTGGGCCGATTGCGCTGAAACTTGGACTGTCGGCAGGCAGGGCACTCACCAAGCGATGTAGGGCCATGTGTCACAGGTGGGGTGGACTCATGCACGTGCGCACGAGAGGGGGTCTGCTTCTACATCTGATGAATCCTTTGGTCGATTTCACTCAAATTTTGTACACTTTTGGGGACAACTTAGATAGGTGGCTCACACAAGTCATCTGGAGTCTCAGTAAGCGCGTGCGCACGTGCAGGAGCCCATTTATATATCTCAAGAACAGGTAGGACCAAGGCCATATATAGAAGGTACAGTCACTCCCCCGCCGACCAATCAGAGACAGATCCTGAGTGACGTCATCCCTGATGCTCGCAAGGGGTACTCCATTCCTTAACAACGTAAAAATGACAAACTTCATTTGAAGATTATTGATGGTACTTTTCACATATTGCTCAACCGTTGATGTCACTGGAAAGCCCAACTAATTTTCTAGAGACAAAAAAGAGCAACAATATGCTAAGAAATGGCCGGTTTTGAAGATAACGGTGCAGTAGCAGTAGCAGTAGCACCCTCTGCAGTAGCAGAAAAGCAACGTAAAAACGCATCGAGCCTATATTTTTACTATAAGTAAATCATTTTTCGGTATGTTTTTAGATAACGTATTGACATGAATAATAACTTAATTAAAATATTTTTTAGTATTTGTAACTTCATTTCAAAATAATATTTTCAAAAATGGCAGCTGTTGGCAAGAAGCTTGGAAGCGATTGTGGCGCACCACGCCATTATTGTCTCTTATTGTTATGATGCAATCAAAAGTGGAGTGACATGGGCCTGGGTAGGACGATAGCACTCAAATTTGGTAAAACTCCTGTCAAGTATGAGTAGGGCGTAAGTATGCCGGGTATAGGTAGGGTACGGTATGGGAAGGGTAGGGTAGGGTAGGGTAGGGTAGGGTAGGATAGGTTAGGGTATTGTATGGGTAGGGTAGGGTAGTGTATAGGATAGAGATAAGTTTGAGTATGGAAAGGGTATGGTAAAGTATGGGTATGGTAAGGTATAGGGTAGAGGTAGGTTTGCCGTTTGGGTAGGGTAGGGTAAAGTTGGGTATGGTAGGGTAAAGTTGGGTATGGTAGAGTATAAGGTAATCGTAGGGTAGGGTAGGGTATGGGTAGGACTAGGGTATGGGTAGGGTATGTATATTGGTAGGGTAGGGTAGGGCCTTTTGCGGCTTTTTCGGTTGGCGGCGGTTAGACGTGCGATGCGGGCGGTTTCCTTTGTTGCGGCGTTTGCGGCGTTTTGCGGTTGGCGGCGGGCAGGCGTGCGATGCGGGCGGTTTTTTGCGGCGGTGTTTGCGTTTTTGCGGTGTCTGCGTTTGTCGGCGGGCGGCCGTTTTTTTTGCAGCGTTTTGCGGTTGGCAGCGGGCAGGCGTGCGATGCGGGCGGTTTTTTGCGGCGGTGTTTGTGTTTGGCGGCGGGCGGGCGGGCGATGCAGGCGGTTTTGATTTGTTTGCGGCGTTTTTGCGTTTTTTTTGCGGTTTGCGGCGGGCGGGCGATTTTTTATTTGTTTTAATTCATTGCGACCTTTGCGTTGGCGTTTCGGGCGTGCGTTTTGCGCGTTTTGCGTTTTTGGGCGGGCGGGCGCTTTTTTGTTTCCTTTTTACGGTGTTTGCGTTTGGGGCGAGCGGGCGTTTTTTTGCTGTGTTTGCGTTTGGTGGCGGGCGGGCGATTTTTAGGTGTTTTCGGTTGGCGGTTAGCGTGCGTGCGATGCGGACGTTTGTTAGGCGTTTTTGCGTTTTTTTTTGCGTTGGGCGGGCGATTGTTTATTTTTTGCGATGTTTGCGTCGGCATTGCGGGCGTGCCTTTGGCGTATTTTGCGGTTTTAGCGTTTGGCGGCGGGCGGCCGTTTTTTCGAGGCGTTTGCGGTTGGCGGCGGGCAGGCGTGCGATGAGGGCGGTTTTCATTTTTGCGCCGTTTGCGGTTGGCGGCGGGCGGGCGCGCGATGCGGGCGGTTTTTATTTTTGCGGCGTTTGTGGTGTTGTTTGTGGTTGGAGGCGGGCGATTTTCATTTTTGTGGCGTTTGCGGTTGGCGGCGAGCGGGCGGGCGCACGATGCGGGCGGTTTTCATTTTTCGAGGCGTTTGCGGTTGGCAGCGGTCGGGCGGGCGATGCGGGCGGTTTTCATTTTTTGCGGCGTTTGTGGTTGGTGGCGGGCGGGCGCGCGATGCGGGCGGTTTTCATTTTTCGGGGCGTTTGCGGTTGGCGGCGGTCGGGCGGGCGATGCGGGCGGTTTTCATTTTTGCGGCGTTTGCGGTTTTAGCGTTTGGCGGCGAGCGGCCGTTTTTTCGAGGCGTTTGCGGTTGGCGGCGGGCGGGCGTGCGATGCGGGTGGTTTTCATTTTTCCGCCGTTTGCGGTTGGCGGCGGGCGGGCGCGCGATGCTGGCGGTTTTATTTTTTGCGGCGTTTGCGGTGTTGTTTGCGATTGGAGGCGGTCGTTTTTTCATTTTTGCGGCGTTTGCGGTTGGCGGCGGGCGGGCGTGTCGTTTTTCTAATAGTTCAATGTCCAAACTTTTGGATCCGTAGTGCTCCTCGAAAAGACATACCTACCTACTATACAATTAAATAAAGCAACTATCAAACACAACCCTACTGATATAAACATTCAAGTTTTGACAACCAAACTAATGGCCCCATCAACAATATCTATCCAAACGTACAGTTATCGCGTAAACCTGTATTCTAGTCTATATTATGAATTATAAGTTGTCCGTGCGACTGTCATGCCTTATGTGTCTTATTGCGCCTGAAAGGCGCCGCGTAGCGACGTGAAATTTGGCATGCCGAATTGGTGGGCTGATATGACCTCTGTATTAAAATTTGGGACGGATTGGCCCAGGGGTGCGCCGTCAGCACGCGCTCGCGTGCGCCATAGGGTTAACACGGGAAACGGTCAAATCGACGATCGGGCGAAAACCGGCCTGCGGCGCCCACTTCCCGGGCCCAAAACTCGGCGACAGATTGCCGTAGCGAGGTGGGGTTACCACCACTGGATAGAGGAGAGATGGAACTAGCGTATTGATATGGTTTCATAGTACAGCACGCGCCATGTGCAAGACAGCACCCCCGGTTGTCAAAAAATGACCGATTTCGTGCATTGTGGGAAGAAAACCGATGCCGCTGGAAAACGGCTTGACGGAATGAAATCGGTGTTGTATCATTTTGCAGACAAATGTACGTGTAATCATAGGAAAGCAAATAAAGGACGATGATCCGTACCATTTCCTTAATAATGAAACTTTAATTTGAAAATTTAATTCGCGCGGAGCGCGATGTCCTTTACAACATCAAAACGTATTGAAAACGCTGACCAATGGCTATGAAACCTACGTATTCGGAAAGAGCATTCTTTTCTGACCAATATCAACCCAAAATATTATCGAAAAGTCAATAAACTTTTGTGAAAATGACTCAAGCATGCGACCGTGTTTTGATAACGTTACGCGTATTTTCCGACGAAATCGGATCGGTGGCTTCGGCAGGCAGGCCCAGGCAGGCCATTGAACGTTTGACAACAAACGGTAGCGGAAGGCACCTCTCGCCAGGGGAATTCGCCAGTAAATAAAATAAATTTATTCGTGCAATAACTCAGCCGCTACTGGGCCGATTGTGTTGAATTTTGGGACTGTCAACGGGCACATATCGAACGACACATTACCATATGTAGGGTGCTAAATGCTAATGCACGTGCACACCTGGAAAGGAGCAGTTTCCTATCTCAAGAACGGCTGGGCCAATTTCTCTCAAACTTGGTAAACACTACAGAACCCGTAAAATCAATTTGTAGCCGCCGCCTGCTCCGCTCCGCCAAAAAGGCCAGATGATTACCACGCTGTATTGTAACAGCGCATGTGCATGAGCACGGTTTCTGCCAAAGACACACAAACAAATATAACACATACCACAGTTGAACATAGGCGTGAGGGACAGCAACATAGCTATATGAAGTACTATCTCACATTATTACACTTAAGTTAAATCTCGTACTTATGCCGACACACTTACGCCAAAACAATAATCATGTCCTCACCATCGGAGTGACTCTCGGCAGGATGTAGACGGCAGCCAAAGTGAGCACAGTGCTCGAGCGCCACCAAAACCAGGCGCCAAAGTACGTGACCGGGCGCGCCACACCAAACAGGCGCTGTCGAGGCGTCGGGCGCCACACCAGACAGGCGCCACCAGCGCGCCGAACGCCTCACCAACGGCGCCACCAGTACGTCGAGCGCCGCACCAACCGGAGCCACCAACAGAAGCAGGCGCCACCAACAGAAGCAGGCGCCACGGATGATTCGCACCAAAAACCGGGCGCAACCTGCATGCGACACCCCATTTACAAATGTGGCGTAACAGTGACAAAGAAACGAAACAAATCCGTCTAAATGGTACAGGTAAGAGCCAAAACTGTAACAGAGCTGACCACGTAAAAACCAGCAAAACGGTAATTATTAGAAATTATGCGAAACATTACAATCATGGCATACAATTTTATCCATACAAACCATTTCACTTACAGGGCACGCCGCGCCACACGTCCAACTCAACGCAGAAACCGAAATGAACATCACTAAGCGTACCACAACTACATCACCTCTAATCGCCAATGAATAAAAATGCCAATAGAAACCGAAAGACAGGTATACCAAATCGCCACATATAATAAATGAGGGTCACGACACATAATATGCCAAGATATCTTAAGCCAATGACGACAATCAAAAAAAACAAACGCCAACCGAAAGTTCAATACTGCCATCACTATACTGCGCTAGTACTGACACACATACACATGTACTGCCACTAGCCGGCGGTGCCATCTATTGCCGAGCTACGCAAGCAGGAGGGCCACCGGGGGCGCTACTGTCGACCTAACCGCGCACCGAGCAGCTGAGTCGAGCAGACGTACGAGCAGCGCCTACACTCCCCCCTTCAGCATACGGCTGAAGAAGAAAAAAAACTCGAGCGCTGCCACGATAAATACATGGGAACAACAAGACATGACAGAATACATCGATACGCAACACTAAGTTACGCTCGCAACGTCTCGACGCCGCCTGTAGTAGCCTTACAAGCTAACACATATAAACAGGAACACCATCAGAGCTGCACACCTTGGCGGCCGCGAAACACTCACCACTCCAAATCGGCCTCAGCAAGAACTAAAACCATCTTATGGATAGGTCGGAGGTAAGTCGATACACTGGTCTTAACTAAGGCCTTTCGAACACGGCCGTCCCGACTGGGTCTCGTCTCAACTACCCTGGCAAGTGGCCAAGTACCTCGGGGAGCACCTGGCTCGACAAGCAGTACAATATCTCCTACCTGGAGATTTCTCGCACCATGTCTCCATCTTTGCCTAGCCTGGAGCGCAGGCAAATATTCTCTCTTCCATCTCACCCAAAACTGCTCAGCCAAGTACTGCACGTACCTCCAACGGCGCCTCGAGAACGACTCGGACTCACCGAACACACCAGGAACAGGATGAACAGACGCACGCAAGAGAAGTAAGTGATTCGGGGTAATTGGCTCAACGTTACTGTCACTGGTGGTAACAAACGTGAGCGGCCTGCTGTTCAGGATTGATTCTATTTCACAGAGCAGTGTGTACAGCGCTTCACGATCCAACAGACGAGTGACAGGCATAGACCTCCAAATTTTTCGGACACTCCTAATCTGACGCTCTACGGACCCAGAAAAGTGAGAACCGTGTGGCGGATTGAACACCCAGTCAATTCCGTGCGGTCGGGCTGCCCGTTGCAACTCCTCGGGATCAAGCTCTAACAGGGCCTCGCGAAGCTCCCTGTCCGCTCCGCACATGTTGGTCCCATTATCAGATCTCACTTGGCGGATTTCTCCGCGGCGAGCTGCTACACGGCGTATAGCATTGACCAACGAATCAGTGCTGAGCGACTCCAGCAGCTCTATATGTACCCCTCGAGTCGTCATGCAGGTACACAACAGCGCCCAACACTTACGTTCTGTCCGGCCACTCTTCACAGGGATAGGACCGAAAACGTCACACGAGATCTTCTCGAACGCCCCAACGCCCGGAACGACGCGTTCGTCTGGCAGGTCCGCCATCAGCTGCCCGAGCGGCCGGCCATTCACCTTCCTACACACCGTGCACCCACGCAGCATCTTCCTGATCTCTCGCCCCGCGCCAATAACCCAGTACTTATCCCTCACACGCCACAGCGTATGATCTCTCCCTTCGTGTCCCACAGCTCTGTGTGCCTCACGGATCATCAATTTTGAAACGTGATGCTCCCGTGGGAGCCGTGGGAGTATCACCGGATGGCGAGCTCGCATCGAGATTCCTTCCGCCGCATCCAGCCGACCTCCCACCACCAGGAGACCATCACGAATATGCGGTCTGAGAGCGGCCAAGGGGCTGGTCCTCGCCACCCTCACCGGACCGTCCGTGGACAGATCACGAGGAAGATTAGCCATGCCGGACTGAGCGTAGCGGAGAATGTCGGACTCAGCATCGCTCAAGTCCGACTGCGTCAGGAGAGCCCGCGCGCCTCCACCACGTCTTGGCCTGAGTCCTTTCCTCTTCGCCAAAACGTACCTGCGGAAATCACCATTTTTGATGACAGTCATGAATCTTTTGTACCAGGCTACTGCCACCTTCAGCCGATAGAAAGACGAAAAGTAACGAACTAGCCCCCCGAATGGATCAGTCTGACGCCCGACCAACGCTGTGGCTACAGAACTAGACTTCTTTACCTCAGACGCTGGGAGAGGGGTACGCTCAGTCGGCTCCACAGGCCACATTGACTGGTCCTTCATCAAGAAGCCCGGACCCCTTAGCCACATTCCCAAGTTGGTTCCGTCTGCACCACGTGAGCCCACGTCGGCAGGGTTATCTCCCGAGGGTACATAACCCCATTCAGACACCTCTGTCACGTCATGTATCAGGGCCAGTCGGTTCGCAACGTAGGTTTTGAACCGAGTCGTCCTGTTCCTGATCATCATCAACACCACCATACTATCCGTCCACATATGTACTCTGTCGAACCTCGTGTCAAGCTCCCTGACGAGAAACTGCCGGATCAAAGAACCCAGCACGGCCCCAGCCAGCTCGAGCTTTGGGACGGATACAGAGCGAAGCGGGGCCACTCGGGACTTTCCCATCAGGAATTCCACGAACACACTGTCTTCATCACCCTCGGTCACGACTTCCTTTCGAATATACGCCACCGCAGAATAGGCCGATTCGCTGGCGTCGACGAACACGTGCAGCTCCGTGGAGCGCACACTTCCCGATGGACCAGATATGTCACGAGCCAAGCACGCACCGCTCAGCTCCTCAGCTCGGCGAAGCCATGCTTGCCACTCATCAACCAAAGCGGGTGGAATTGCCCCATCCCAGCCACAGGATGCAGCACAAAGTTTCTGCAGAATCAGCTTCGCTGACAGGGAAATGGGAGCCCAGAATCCAATGGGATCGAAAACACTGCTGACAGTGGACAGGATCCCGCGTCTCGTCACCGGGCTCTTCCTGTCTTGAAAGCAAAAACGAAACGTGTCATCCTCCATGCACCATTCCACGCCCAACGCACGATTACAGCCAAGTTCGTCTCTGTCCAGATTCAAATCCCTGACGCCCTTTCCTCTCTCTCCTTCGGGAATGCTCCTTAGGAAATCTGCACTGTTAGATACAAACTTTCTCATGCTGAACGCGCCCGTTTGGCACAGCCGTTTCAGATCATCTGCGAGACTGACCGCTTTCTCAACAGAGTCGACTGCCACAAGCGCGTCATCAACGTACATGTTTCGCAGCAGCACATCAGCGGCCTCGGGAAGTTGCTGCTTTCCCCCCTCGGCGCACAGTTGCACGGCCAAGGATGCAACGCTGCTGCTAGAGACCGCACCGAATACGTGTGAACGCATTCTCCACACTTCAATCTCGCCTGCATCAATGTCATCGTTCTTGAACCACAAGAACCGAAGTAAGTCTGAATCCCTGGCAGGGACATGTACCCTATGATACATCGCCTGTATGTCGCAAGCGAAAGCCACACCACCTTCACGAAAGCGAGAAACAACCGCTGTCAGCGGCTGACCCAGGTGGGGACCGCCTTGGAGAATGTCATTTAGACAAACCCCTGCTGACCGAGCAGCGCAATCGAACACCACCCTGAGTTTCGCTGGGCTTTCTACCGCATGGTGCGGAAGGTACCAAACGTCACGTGACCTTGGGGCAAGCTCGCTGGACGGAACCCTCTCTGCATAGCCGTCATCTCTCAGCGAATTGATCACAGACGCGTACGACTGAAACATGCCCGGGTCCCGTTTGAACTTCCTTCTGAGTGAACCGAGTCGCTTCTCGGCAACTGGGAAGCTGTCAGGAATGCTACCCAGGTCTGACCTTGGAAGAGCGATTTCGAAGTGACCGTCCTCGTCCTTGCGGACGGTACCTTTCACCCTTTCCAACCACTCCTTGTCCTCGACAGACATGCCTTCACGATTGTCAGATACATCACGGAACTCCTCGGAGTAAAGTTTCTCAAACATCAAACGGATGTCCTCCTCGTCATCTCTGCAATCATTTTTTCGCAGAAAGTTAACCAGATGCGGTCTGCCGTCTAGACCGTGACAGGAGAGTCCCACTACGTACCAACCCAAATCAACTCTGACACCATGTGGTCCTTCCTGCCCTGCTGACGGAGACACAACCTCTCTCACCATCAGAAGGTCAGCAACATTTCCACCAATCAGCAGCCCGACAGGCACGTTCAAATCCAGAATTTCTACACCATTCAGATGCTCCCATCTCGTCGCCTGTTCTACACTGCACCTGTCACTGGACGTGACTGGTATGTTGGCCAGTGAGAATAAGGGCGGTAGACGACGGTACTGATCGCCGACGAGAGGCGCGACCTCTACGCCTTCAACGAGGCCGGAGTCCAACTCCTGCCTTGAATCCGTCACCGTATCTATGCGAATCGTCGTCGGCCGTTTCTCTACCCCCAATCGAGTTATGGTTTGATCAGTAATGAAGGAGGTAGAACTGCCTTGGTCCAGGAAGGCATTCGTTACAATCTCCTTGCCCGTGCTCGACCTTAGCCGAACCGGGACTATCGGCATGTAAGTACGTACATCATCAGTGACATCCACGCGTGCACTGACCATGGATGCTCCACCCCCACCGAGCGATTGAACCGTACGGGTACCCACAGGACCCCCACCGGCACCAGTGCTGTCATTCTGCACCGGCTGACTCGGTCCCGGCACACCACGAACAGATGTGCGACCTCCCCCCGGTACCGCACGGATCGCCTCGGTAGGTGACTGATTCACCCGGCCGGGCACCTGAGCGCTGCCAGGCGGCACATGGCTCCCACCAGACGGAACCTGAACAGCTCGAGATCCTGGGGAAGAACCCGCACCAGGTGGCGCCGATAAGAACGTCCTGTGCAGCACAGTAGGGTGCCGTGCACCACAGACGCTACACTTCAGCCGCGAGCGACAAAACCTCGCCACATGTCCCTTTCTCAGGCACCCAAAGCAGAGCCTGTGATCAGACACAACCCCTTTTCTACGGTCCCAGGTCTGCCACATCAGCTGATCACAGTCCCCAATGAAGTGATTGCCATCACAGAACTCGCAGCGCCGGCCAGCTGACGACGGCAGCGGCCGAGCGTTAACAGCACTCACGCGCGCGCGATGAGGATCGACGCGACTCACGCCGCCAGACGCCCGCGGTCCAGACCGCAGCGATCCGAAGACCGCATTACTCTTTACCCTGACCTCAGCTGCCAGAAAATCCACCAGGTCCCTAAGTTCCACCATCCGGCCCTCTGGTCCCTCCATCACCCTGTCGACCTCCCTGAGCCACCGATCCTGCAAGTACCCAGGCAACTTTCGTACAACATCCCTCAGGGTTCGCGGGTGGTCCAGCTCCCCCTTTGGGAGGCCAGCCATGGCATGCTGGATCTCTGTCAGTAACAGCACCAGCCTGTCCAGCCCTTCAACATCCCCTTCAGCTACCTTGGGCCAGTCTCTGAGCTTATCCGAGAAGGTCTCTATGAGCAGATGTCGATTACCGTACCGCACCTCCAGCAAACGCCGGGCCTCAGCATAGCCCTGGTCGCCGAGATAAAGGCAGCTGCGCACGATCTCCCTGGGCTTCCCTTGGGTATATTGCTCGAGATAATATAATAACTCCGATTGATCCCCGGTCCTGGCCGCTACACGGGACTCAAAGGCCTGAATGAAAAGTCGATATTCTGAGATCTCACCACGGAAGGGAGTCAAAGCTGCAGGAGGCAGCAGCGACCGCTGCACCTGCTCTGTCAGTGCAGTAGAGATGTCACTATGCCCCATTTGAATCCTAACATCCTCAGTGATATCATGTCCCATGGCAGCAAGTTTCTGTTCTAGAACTAACTGCTCTCGCCTAGCCTTTATCTTTCTTTGCATCTGTTCTATACGGGCCTCCTCCTCATCTAGCATACTTCTCTCTTTCAAAAATCTCAATTGACCTTGCAGCACAGCACGCTCCTCTGGAGCACTAACTCCCTCACTTACTGCTATCTTACTGCTCTCCCGCTCCTCCTCCATTGCCGCCCACAACCTATCAACTAGCTCTACTTTCTTGCCCGATGTATCTAGTCCACGCTCTTCTAGCAAGCGCTGCAGCTCAGAGGCCCTATAATTACTTATATCATCTCTAGAAGCCATATCAGATAATACCAAGACCTACCTACCTGCGGATGATAGCCTATGTCACCACCAATAACTCTCTGCAAGACTTAAGCTAAACAGATGCCTGACATACATAACAATAACAACCAACCAAAGCAGGATACATCAGAACCCAAATATCAACAATCTCACACACTTAGCAGCACACACAATGAACCTCAGCTTCCACCATAGCCAACCATGTGTCACACCTCCCAATCCCCATACCACAAGCTGTCTGCATCGCACCGAACTGTAGCTACTGGCACCAGATGTCACTGCGATCCTTACTGCCCAGCAAACAATGCTAGGACCATCAAACTAGAGGGCATCACAAGGCACCAGGTGATGACACCTCCGGCCTCCCTGACCGATTGTGGTCCCCAATACCTCATGTATGCAGACGCCAGATGAAACCTCACTGGACGAGTCAGTCTGACGAACTCCGCAGCAGCTCCTCGTCAAGCAGGAGTGCAGGGAGAGAAGAGTCCGATGAAACTGTAGCCGCCGCCTGCTCCGCTCCGCCAAAAAGGCCAGATGATTACCACGCTGTATTGTAACAGCGCATGTGCATGAGCACGGTTTCTGCCAAAGACACACAAACAAATATAACACATACCACAGTTGAACATAGGCGTGAGGGACAGCAACATAGCTATATGAAGTACTATCTCACATTATTACACTTAAGTTAAATCTCGTACTTATGCCGACACACTTACGCCAAAACAATAATCATGTCCTCACCATCGGAGTGACTCTCGGCAGGATGTAGACGGCAGCCAAAGTGAGCACAGTGCTCGAGCGCCACCAAAACCAGGCGCCAAAGTACGTGACCGGGCGCGCCACACCAAACAGGCGCTGTCGAGGCGTCGGGCGCCACACCAGACAGGCGCCACCAGCGCGCCGAACGCCTCACCAACGGCGCCACCAGTACGTCGAGCGCCGCACCAACCGGAGCCACCAACAGAAGCAGGCGCCACCAACAGAAGCAGGCGCCACGGATGATTCGCACCAAAAACCGGGCGCAACAGGGCACGCCGCGCCACACGTCCAACTCAACGCAGAAACCGAAATGAACATCACTAAGCGTACCACAACTACATCACCTCTAATCGCCAATGAATAAAAATGCCAATAGAAACCGAAAGACAGGTATACCAAATCGCCACATATAATAAATGAGGGTCACGACACATAATATGCCAAGATATCTTAAGCCAATGACGACAATCAAAAAAAAACAAACGCCAACCGAAAGTTCAATACTGCCATCACTATACTGCGCTAGTACTGACACACATACACATGTACTGCCACTAGCCGGCGGTGCCATCTATTGCCGAGCTACGCAAGCAGGAGGGCCACCGGGGGCGCTACTGTCGACCTAACCGCGCACCGAGCAGCTGAGTCGAGCAGACGTACGAGCAGCGCCTACACAATTAAATACCATACAGTAATCGCGCAAACATGGCCATCTAGTATAATTGATAGAGACAAGTAGAAAAACACGGAACAAATAGTGCATGGACGCGTTTCGATTATTAAGTCTTGATCAGCATGACATACCCACAAAGAAAACAAGATATCTTGTTTTCTTTGTGGTTATGTCATGCTGATGAAGATTTAATAATCGAAACGCGTCCATGCACCATTTGTTCCGTGTTTTTCTACAACTATCCATGCATTTGTGCATTTCATTTTAGTGAAACCAGCAAGACGCCTTTTGGGGCGACAAACGAGCCAGCGCGCGAGTGAGCCCCCCACACATGCACTGTACAGAAGTGCGAGGGACTTCCAAATGTTCCAAAAATGCGCCACTGTTGAGTGTTGGGGGCGCCCCTCTTCTACTGGGCAAGCCCAACTTCTGCATGAGGTGCCTTATTTCTTGACATTGATGGACATGCACTTTTAGTGGATGGGGAATCACCTGCACCCCCATACATATAGAAAGTTACACCACTGGGGGGGGGGGGGGGGGGTCCGTAAGACTCCCCAGCCTTTTGGCCGCTGACCAAACTTGAGCGCAATCAGCCCAGCTGTTCTTGAGATGTAGAAGCGGCACCCTGCACGTGCGCACGTGTAAAATGGTTCAAACTGGATTTTGCCCGGCACCCTTCGCACCGGTCCCTATAACCGTGTGCCAAGTTTGAGTCCAAACGGTCTAGGCGTTCTCGACATCTGGAAGCGACCACTGCTCGTGCGCACGTGCAGTAGCACCTCAACCGTGACATATGACAACGCATTTCCCGGTAGGTGCCTACCCACATGACAATTTCAACACAATCGGGCCGGTAATTGCCGAGTTATTGTAATAAGAACAAACGTGACACCTGTTTGTACTTTGCACGTGCAGCGGGTGGTCACTCACATGAATCAAGAGTACCCGATGTTTAGTAGAAGGGCTACGGCTACCCTAAAAAAAATTACCGCAAGTCAAACGTCCTAATGCAGTGGTTGCTGAGATATAAGCCCACTTTAACCCTCGCCCGTATAGGGGGGGGGGGGGGGTGGGGGGTTGAACGGACCCGCCTCATGGTTTTTCGCGAATAACTTGCGTAAAAAGCGGCCGATCGCGACGAAACTTTCAGTACCCTCGCGTTAATCAATTTTACACCTACTCTAAAAATTTCATGACCCTGACCCCAATGACCTTTGACCTGTGACCTACTTTTCGAGACCATGTTTGGCCTAGCCGCGCGTTTGCAGTCTTCTCGTGGTTTCAAGCGTTCAAACATGTGATATGATGTTTCCCCCATGCGTTAGGGTGGGTGTCAAGGTCACCTGAAGGTCAGGTCAGGTCATTGACCTTTGATGACCTCGGTTCACTTTTTCGAGTTTTACATGTTTCTAGGCCAGTTTTTGCAGCTGAATTCGAATTTAGCAACCATTTGAACATTTACGAAGTAGTTTTGGTGCCTTCGTAACATGTTACGCAGCTGTCAGAGGCGGTTGACACCTACTAGGAATACCCGGCAGGACCCCTACTGGTTGACCTGACCTGACCTGACCCGACCTGGACTAAATGCATGAAGACATCATCTGTGATCAAAACTAACATGATATTCGTGATCAGCACCCCGAAAAACCCCGTAGCAGCCACACTTTACGACGTTCTAACAGGTCCCGATTGTCCCGACTTTTGGGTCATTGACCTGACCTGCAAGGTCAACCAATGACCTAGGACCTTAAAATTAGGTATCATCGGCTTCCTCTCGTCACGGGCAGCACGCTCGTTTTTTCCGCGAAGCTCTAGCTCGATCAGGGGCGAAACGGCAAGGGGGGGGGGGTCCAACGGACCCCCCCCCCCCCTTATACGTTCGCGGCTGGAAAAAACACCAATACGGGCGAGGGTTAAGAAATTGGTAGTCTCAAAAGCGCTACTTCTGCAAAACAGCTTGGACGCCCTTGACTTCTCACGTGGCACGTGCCACGATGGTCAATTAGATGCATCAAGATCGTAAATTGCGGGTTAGAAGGGATGGGGCAGCCCAACAAAAAGACCACAGGTCAATCAGTCCAGCGGTTGATGAGATATAGGCCTCCAAAAGCATTACAGGCCGGGCCGGGCCGCTCATACTGATATTTTCCCGTTTTATTGAAAAGACTTCGCTTCACTCGCTCGCTGGTAATAATTTTGCTCAATAGTAACAGCCATTCTTAGTCCAGACAACCGTTAGTGTCAATTCTTAAAATAATTCGTCATTTTATTCTTAGCCTACTGCACTGATTTATCGTTGCGTCAGTTTACGACAGCTCGGTGAGTATTCGTAAGTTCACCATACCGTTAAAGGGACCCTCCCACCTTAACATTAGTTTTGAGTTGAGATAGCCAAGTTTCCGGCCAGGCTCAGAAACCACCATTTATCCTGGTCGCAACCCCCGCAGCTTTATGGTGTTCAAGAAATTTCTTCCCTTTACTTGCAGGGTGGGACCAGCGTGGTCCCTATCTCTTAACCATTACGGGAATCTGATGACGTCATCAGGCTTTCGAACGTCCGTCATTAATTTGACTAAAACGTTTTGTAGCACGCGGTGGTATATGCTGCTTTGGGCGCAACAAATGCCGCACTTTCAAATAAAGTCGCTAGGAACAGCGGAGATCCCAAAAAGTAAACAAAAGTAAAAGTCTAATATCTTGAAAACCGGTGAATATTTTTCGGTGAAATTTGGTAGATATTCGTTTTCGCTCTTTCTGAACCGAGCGACATCACTTTCATGCCAATTTATAAACTTTTTTGAAGGTGGGAGGGTCCCTTTAACATTATGTTCTTACGAAAAACTTCAGAAATTCTTAAGATGACACGACGTGAATCGCACTTACGACATTCTTACGAGAATTCTTAAGAAAAGGTCGACGTGAATCGCAAACTGTCTACGACAATTTTTTTATTCGTAAGATATTTTTGCTGTCGACGTGAATACCAAATTTTCGTAAGAAGTAGGTCGTGCGTAAGAAAATTCTTACGAAAATAATCGACGTGAATACGGCCCCAGGACCCCCAGCCGGGCGCGGGTTAACCCTCGCCCCTAGTGGTGTTCTTCCAGCCGCGAACGTATAGAAGGGGTCCGTTGGACCCCCCTGCCGTTTCGCCCCTGGTCGAGCTACAGCTTCGCGGAAAAGACGAGCGTGTTGCCCTTGACAAGAGGAAGCTGATGATACCCATTTGTAAGGTCCTAGGTCATCGGTTGATCTTCCAGGTCAGGTCAATGACCCAAAAGTCGGGAAAATCGGGACCCGTTAGAACGTCGTAAAGGGTGGCTGCTATGTTTTTTTTTGGTGCTGATCACGAATCGTTAGGCGGTGCGGGTGGACATCGATAGCAGCGCCTCTAGCGGTCACTAGGGAAAGCTGGGCTGTAGGCGACGAAATACCGGCTGAGTTGTCACACGTTGAATAGGTTTATAGACATCCGTCTTGTGAAAAATGTGAACTTTTGCCTTCAATATTTCTACAGGCAATTTTAGAAGTGATCTTCACATCTTACAAAACCGTTTAGATTATTGTATTCACTTCAAGCCTTCCTTATTGTTCTTGACGATGATGCTGGAACTATTTATAATCAGTGTTTCTAGCTTAGTAAAATAATATATTGTTCAAACGATGGAAAAACATAAAAGGAAAATTTTAAATGCAATTTTCTCTAATAATTAATCGTAGAATCTCTACACATCAAGGAAAATTTGCATACATACTGATAATTCAAAGTTCTTGGGGAAAGATGTTTTCTTCTTTTCTTACCTCGCCCCAATGGCCGCGAATACACTTGTGATAACTCCTATCGTATAATGTTATTTATGATCATAGATGATGTCTTCATGCATTTAGGCCAGGTCGGGTCAGGTCAGGTCAGGTCAACCAGTAAGGGTTTTGCCGGGTATTTGTAGTAGGTGGCAACCGCCTCTGACAGCTTCGTAACATGTTACGAAGGCACCAAAGCTACATAGTAAATGTTCAAATGGTTGCTAGATTCGAATTCAGCTCCAAAAACTAGCTTAGAAACATGTAAAACTCGAAAAATTGAACCAAGGTCATCAAAGGTCAATGACCTTACCTGACCTTCCGGTGACCTTGACACCCACCCTAATGCATGGGAGCAACATAATACCCCATACTTGAACGCTTTAAACTACGAAAAGACTGCAAACTCGCGGCTAATGCGAGCCGACATACGCTGAATCGCGATTCCGGCCAAACATGGTCTCGAAAGAAGGTCACAGGTCAAAGATCATTAAGGTCAGGGTCATGAAATTTTCAGGTTAGCTGTGAAATTAGTTATCGCGAGGGTACTGAAAGTTTCATTGCAATCGGCCGCTTTATACGCGAATTACTCGCGAAAAAACCGAGGGTTCCGTTCGAAGATTCAGGCCCTGTCGCGCTAGAATGGCATATCGGCCCACTGTGCAGCGGCTCGTGGGTAAATTATCACGAGACGACGAGAGAAAATCAAGAGCGTGGGCACCGCGGTGGCAGCTTGAAAATCTCGTAAGTGGGTCAAAATAATCAATATTTTACAGGCTAATATTACGTTAGTTTCTCATCTAATTATAATAAAAAATGAAACCAAATTGTTCTACGTTAAATTATGAATCGTCCTATACACATTTTATTTCATGAAGTGCATCAGGTGCGCTTAAATATTAAATTCACTGGAACACCTCAAAACACGTCCGACACTCCCGACACACCAAATTATCAATCCAATGATAATGATAATCCTATGATAATGTATATTAATCAAGCCATTTCGCCACAGTAGGCAGCCGCCGCAGTAACGGTGCGCAATGTCCAGACCGCACAGCCCTCTGGCGTGGCCCACTGGTTTCCCTAGTTCGTGTCTCATTCCGCAGAGGTCAGGGCTGAGCTCGAGCTCCCGCACTTTAGCGGCACTAGCTGTTTGTTCCACAGGGCGTCCTTCGGCTCGTGCG